TCGGAAACAGGCTCCAGGCTCTGAGCCATCAGCCCAGAGCCCGACGCGGGGCTCGAACCCACGGACCGCGAGATCGTGACCTGGCTGAAGTCGGACGCTTAACCGACGGCGCCACCCAGGCGCCCCAGTCATCAGTTGTTTTAAAGTCACGGCATTTCCCTCAAGACGAGCCAGTAATGAGTCTCATGCACACACAGGACAAGGCTGCACTAAGTGCCAGGTGGATGAGACAGCTGACAGTAGATGGCCCAAGAAGGCCTCCAGCTATGGACGGGCAGGGAAGCCCAGCAGGGTATTTACAGGCTGATGGTGAGAAGAGTTCCTGGTTTGTTGTGTTGGTTCATAATGGCTACAGAGCTGCTGCGATCCTGGGGTCAGCCCCCACCATTTGCATGTCTCCTGTGTGGGACTCTAAGCAGGTTTTCTGCTGTGGAAAAGCCTCACACAGGCCATAGGGCTCTGTTCCTGCTTCTAGTCCCACTTCCTCACTTTCTTTTTCGTTCATTTAGGCTTCCCCTTGATCCAGAAGAGTGGAGGCAATTACATAAATGCATATAGAATAAAAAGAAACTTAAGGGGTTCTGCTGAAGTGTGTATGCATGCTGATCCTCCAATAGTATTCCTGGGAGTTTATCTCAAGGATAATAATTGAAATATGCTCAGATATGTATCTTTATTTTTCATATACTTGTGATTTCCCCTCTCTGCCTTTTTTAATGTGAAATGTCTTCATTCAGAGAGTGTAAAAAATGTACACGTGCTGTTGAAAGAATAATAGTGAAGCAATCCCTTGTGTATCTGCAACTCAGGTTAAGATAAAGAGCACTGACAGTGTTTTAGAGGCAATCTTTGGGCCCTTCTACAACAATTTCACCCCTTAAAAATATATCCCTAAATAGGGGCACCTGGGTGGCTCAGTTGGTTAAGCATCCGACTTTAGCTCAGGTCATGATCTCACAGTTTGTGAGTTTGAGCCCCGCATCGGGCTCTGTGCTGACAGCTGGGAGCCTGGAGCCTACTTCAGACTCTGTGTCTCCCGCTCTCTCTACCCCTCCCCTGCTCATGCTCTGTGTCTGTGTCTCAATAATAAACAAACATTAAAAATTTTTCTAAAAAAATATATCCCTAAATAATATATAATATTGTTTTGCCTTGTTTGAATTCTGTGATTGACTTCTCATTCTAAGTATCATGTTATTAAGATTTTTAAAATATTGGTGCATATAACTAAATTTCATTTATTTTCTCTGCTCTATAGTATTCCAATATTTGAATAAACCACAATTTATTTACCCAGTCGACTGCTAATAGATATGTGAGTCGTTTCCAGTTTTTGGTCTTCTAAGCCATGCAGCTATTAACGTTCTTATACATTTACAATATTGCACGTGTATGAGAGATTCCCTAGGGCATATACTTAGGCGTGAGATTATTGGGCTGTAGGGCACACGGTCAGCTTTACTAGTTGAGAAGAGACCAGGGTGATTGATAAATGCCCCTGAGGGTTTGGGTTGCCCAGAAGATCCCCCTTAACTCAGAGGAAGGAGCTGTGCCCCCACCCAATTTCCCACAAGATCATGGGGTGCCAGCAGCTGTATTGCCAGACAGGTTTCTGAACAGCTGGCATCTAAAATTCTGCTTGCTTGATACCGGTCAAATCCCGTCCCTACCCCTCACCCACCCATTAGCAAGACCATTCTCACGGGGTCCTGCCTCTGGAGCAGAACCCCCTGGTGCATCCAGCAATGCTCTGGCCCTTCACACTTTGCAGGAGGCTGAACTAATGGTGAACCATCATCCTGTTTTGCTGACCCTCTGCTTTAACTCTTCCCAACGAAACCAGTTCTGTGCCTGCATATAATGACCTTGTGGTGTTTGACTTCACCACCGTTCCATAGTAGGTAATGTCAAACTGTCTTCCAAAGTGACTCCTCCAATTTCCTTCTCACCTGCAGTGGGTGAGGAATCCTTTTGCTCCCCATCCTCGCCAATGCCTGTAATTGGGCATTTTCAATTCAAAGACTTTTACACTTTTGTCAATCTTGTGGCTATAAAATTGTCACTCATTGTGGTTTAATTAATATTTCCTTGATCACTAATGAAATTGAGCATCCTTTCATTTGTTTATTGGTTGTTCAGGTTTTCTCTTGTGAAAGTACCTATTTGAAGCTCTTTTCTGATTTGTTTGCTTTTTAAAAAATTGATTCATAGGAGTTTATTATATATTCTGGTTATGATCGCTGGTTATGATTCCCTTCTCTCTCATATTACGATGTCTTTTCTTCTTTATTATGGAATCTTTTGTAAATGAAGTTCTTAATTTTGATGCAGTCAAATTTATTGAGTTTTTGCTTTATTTTATGGTTTGTGCTTTTGGTCTTATTTACAAACTCCTTTTCTATCCATGGATAATTAAAGTATTCTCCTAAATTTTCACCTAGAAGTTTTATATGTTACCACTTGCTTTTGGGACTTTAATCCTGGCGTTGATATTTGTGTGTGCTAGGAGTCTAATTTTCCATTTTTTCATTAGGAATATTGTCCTAGCACCGTTTCCTGAAAAGTCCGTTTTTTTCCCTTAATTTACAGGGCAAACTATATCAGACATCAAATATCCATATGTGTATGAGATCATTTTTGGATTCATTATTTCGTTCTATCTTTCCACTTGTCTGCTCCTGCACAAATATTATACTGTTCCAAAGTCTATAGTTTATAAAAAGTCTTAATATCTAGTAGAACAAGTTACCTCACCCTGTCCTTTATCAGTAGGATTTGTCTCTTTTGGTTGGGTATTTCTGTATAAATTTTAGAATCAGGGTGTGAAATTCCACAGACAAGTAAAAGGTTGGGATTTTGAGTGAGATGACCTCAATTTGGTAAAAACTGACATCTTTAAATTATTGTTTTTAATACATGAACTTGATATATTTCTTCTTTTATATAGTTTTTTTAAAAGTCTTTTCCTAAGATTTATAATTTTCTCCACAAAGATCTTTTTAAAGCATTATTGAGAATGGTATCTCTTTTCTTTTTTTTCTTTTTCTGCCTATTATTTTTTTTCTTTTTCAAGTTTCTATTTAAATTCCAGTTAGTTAACATAAAGTGTGAGAGAATGATGTCTCTTAACATTTTTGTACTTATTTGTTTTTGTTGATATGTAGAATGCATTTGATTTTTGCATGCTGATTCTTATTCTGGTAATTTACCTGTAGAGTTTTTATTTTCTGCATGTGCACTCATATCATAACTAAGTAATGATTGTTTTATTTCTTCTTTATCTTGCCTTTCTCTGTTGGCAAGACACAGCTCAGTGTTGAATAGAAAAGGAGACAATAGGAACCCTTGTCATGTTCCTGATCTTAAAGGGAATGTTTTCAACATTGCACCATTAATATGTTTTTTGCTGTATGTTAATCTTTTTTTTATTAAAATTTTTTAATGTTTATTTATTTTTGAGACAGAGAGAGACAGAGCATGAGCAGGGGAGGGTCAGAGAGAGAGGGAGACACAGAATCTGAAACGGGCTCTAGGCTCTGAGCTGTCAGCACAGAGCCCGACGCGGGGCTCGAACTCACGGACCGTGAGATCATGACCTGAGCCGAAGTCGGCCACCTAACTGACTGGGCCACCCAGGCGCCCCCCCCCTTTTTTTTTTTATTAATAGAAGGGGAGAAACTTTTCTTTGATTCCAAATTAGTTAAAAATTTAAAACTATGAACAGAAGCTATATTTTATTATATACTTTTTTCCCTGCATGAATTCAAGTGATTATATTATTAATTTGTTAATATGATGACTTTCCTTATTCACATATTTCTAATGATAAGCCATCTTTCTATTCCTGAGATATATTTGATCTGATTATGATTAAAAGAAAAATTTTTTTTTTTTTGTTTTAGAGAGAGAGAGTGGGGTAGAGGGGCAGTGCTAGAGAGAGAGAGAGAGAGAGAGAGAGAGAGAGAGAGAATCTTAAGCAGGCTCCACGCTGAGCATGGGGCACAGCATGATCTCATGCAGGGCTTGATCCCACAACCTTGGGATCATGACCTGAGCCAAATTCAATAGTTGGATGCTCAACCAACTGAGCCACCCAGGAGCCCCTGATTATGGTTTTTAAAAAATATGTTGCTTATATGAGTTCTTTAATGTTTTTAGTATTTTTGCATCTATGACCATGATAAGTCTGGCTTGTAATGTTCCTTTCCTTAATGTTCTTGATAGGTGTTCATATCAAGCACACGTGATTTTTATAAGTGGATATGGATAATGAGACAAAGGAAAAATGTAAGTAATAAATAAAAGATAAAAGTTAGAATTTAGGTTGTAATGCAACATTTATGCCATAAGATCTCTTACATGGCTAGGAATTTGGCTCTAAAATTCCTAGCAATGAATTAAAGTTAATTTCATGATTCACAAAAATCAATGAGTTAAAACAAAACTGGCTATTCAGGAGCAGAACAAGTTTTCCAAGGGGCAGTAAAGGGTGGTGGTTTGGAGACTATTCCTTGGAGCTGGACTGAGTTCTAATCCTGTCTCTAGAACTTACTAGCTATGTCATTTGAACAAGTTGCTTAATTGCTTTGTATTTCAGTTTAGTCACCTGCCAAAGAAAGATAATTATGTTATCTACTCAAAGAAGTGTTTCACAGATTAAATGAATTAATACATATAAAGTCCTTTGAAAATTAATCAGTTCTTGGTAGCACTCAATGAACATTAACATTTTATTATCATTTCTGGTACCGAGACCAGAAAGAAAATTTCTCCTTGAATTCCTTTTGACAGAATACCTTTTAATGAAAATGACAATGACCCTAACAAAATCCTTATAGGATTATTATTATTACTATTATTATTACCTAATCATTTTGAGGAGTTTGATATCCTTCAGGCAAACTTTCATAAGTAATGCTTTTCCAGTTGGGTTTCTGATGAGAGCAGTGGGTATGAGGTGCTACTCTATGAGTAGTACCTGGAATACAGCCATATGCTTACCTATTTTTTGAAACTAGAGGAAGATAAATAGGACCACCTTGCTTCCAGGTGGGCCAAGAAGTACTTAAAGACATGGCCAGGTATCTCTCCCTGACTAGTTTTGGGTAGGGAACAGTGCACAGTCAAAAGGGTGGTCAGTATTCCATTGGCTGCACTAATTTTAGTTTGGGAAAAATTAAATCAACTATTGCAAACTATCACTTTGGCAATAAGTTGGTTATTTAAAAATGTCACTATATAGGTACCTAAATGAGTTAACTTAGGTACTAGATAATTGACTATACTGAATTCCAGTCAAATAATCACAACTAATGATTACATGGAGTTTCCTATGTGCTGTATTGTTCTAAGTAGTTCACATAATCTAACATTTTTTAGACTTCACAACAATCACGTGAGGCAGGTACTGGTACCATCATCGTCTTACGGATGAGTGACATGACCAGTAAGTGGCAGAGGTGGGATTCAAACCCAGGTACATTGGCTCCTGAATCCAAATGTAAGTGAGATGCCTACCCAAAATGATAACTTTGTTTTAGAATAATTGACTTGTAGATAGACTTCCTTTTTTTTTTTAACGTTTTATTTATTTTTGAGAAAGAGAGACAGAGCATGAGCAGGAGAGGGGCAGAGAGAGGGAGGGAGACACAGAACCTAAAACAGGCTCCAAGCTCTGATCCATCAGCACAGAGCCCGATGTGAGGCTCGAACTCAGGACCAGTGAGATCATGAAGTTGGACGCTAACCAACTGACCCACTCAGGTGCCCTGATAGCCTTTTTATGGCAGTCATTTTATAGCAGGCCACTATATTCTAAATGATGAAAGGATAGGATCTGTGTGTGAGAGTGTTTTTCTTTCTCTGTACCATGACAAGGCACATATCCAGCCCAGGCAAGAATGGTATATATGTATATATACATATACATAAGTAGAAAGCAAAATAAAAACAAGTAGAAAATAGTAAAAACATCTTTTATACAATTTCCACCTGATCAGTTATAGATCCTAGCTCTGACAGTGGATTAAGGAAAAGGTTCTCGTTAAGCATCAATAATGAGGGTCAATAGTATATTGACCTTGTGATGTCCATTACAGTCAATGCTCATCTACTTAAATGTAAAGAAGAGATCTAAAAAGAGCACACACAATCTTGTGTAATTCTGAAGATATTTCTTTACAAGTTAACACAGAGTTTGTCAATGATCAGTAGTGGAATAACTATGCCTATGGGCCACCACTCCTGAATAAAATATGGGCTCACTGGACCTAAACTTGCAATTCATCAAGAAGGAAACAGGCATGCTGCTATCTGTGGAGTCCTTTTCTGTGGTCACAACCTGCAGCTCTCTTTAGCTGGGTCCTTTCAGCAGACAAGTTCTCTGTGACATTGGCTTTTAGATATTGCAGAAGCATCACATGTAGCTGCAGCTAACAGGAAGTGATAGTTGTGTGATTGGGTGTGAGAAGAAACTGGAGAGCAGTAGAAAGCCTGGTGGCATTTCTTGCTTCTCTGCATTTTTTGGCAGCTAGGATTAGGTTAGTTCTGCTGCAAAGTGGGATCCTTCCAGTGGTCATTGCCCGTGTGACTTTTCAGGGTTTCAGCAGTGATGCTCGAGGAAATGGCCTCCTCCTTGATCTTGAGACATTGTGCCTAGAGGCCACCACCACTTTGGGTGACTGCTTTTGGGAACTGCCGTTGCTAACACTCTAATTCTATAATATGGGAATAGTATAGTTGCCCTTTTAAAAGCTGTGATAGAGTTCACAATGGTTTTAGCTGGGTGGTAGACTATTTGTGGAGCTAATAAAGATGTGCAAATAGGGACCTGAGCATACCCTTTTAAGCAGTTCTTTAATAATTGTAGGGGCAGGAAGTCTCCTCAGGTGCTTTATTTGGTCAGATTTCTTCATAGAAATCAGTTGTTCAATACAAGGAGCATGACCTAGATCCAGAAGAAAGCAGCCTGGAATCTACAAAGTTTATCAAGCTCAGCAGTTGAGCAAAACCCAGATTTCTAAGACCTCATTCATCAAAGTCACTGCTGTGATGACAATTTCCCAGAATCTGCCTTCATTTCCACATCTAATGGTTAAACTCTGATTTTATCACATAGGTTAATCATAAAGTATTTTTACTTAAAAAAATTTTTTTTTAAATGTTTATTTATTTTGAGACAGGAGGGGTGGGGTCAGAGCGAGAGGGAGACACAGAATCCGAAGGAGGCTCCAGGCTTTGAGCTGTCAGCCCAGAGCCCAACACAGGGCTCGAACTCATGAACCTCAAGATCATGACCTGAGCCAAAGTCAGACGCTTAACTGACTGAGCCACCCAGGCATCCCAATCATAAAGTATTTTTTAATCTGATGCTTTCATAATGTTTAAAATTTTAAAACTCCCAGATAATTCCTCTGATTAGCATGATGTAAGTTTTAGTTTCATATTGTTTTGGTTTTCCGGTCAAGCAGTCTCTAGCTCTTTTTAGTTATTCTGCAATGGGCACTGGAAGTGAAAGTCCTATGTGGTTGAGACCCAGTGTGAATGAGGCAGGTTTTAAGTGATTAGCAACCAATTGGGAGGAAGGGAGCAAAGAAATGTATTTCTCCAGGCATTGAGGCAAAGTTCTGAAAAGTCATAGGATGGCATCAGACCACCAGTAGAAATTAAAAGTCCCTCAACTCACTTGTCATCCCCAGACTTCTGAACCAGCCCAGAAAAAACATGAGTGCAGACCTGACTTCAGGTTGGATATACTTAGACTTAAAACTTAGGCTCTTAGCTAAAACTTAGCCAAAAATTGGCTCTTTCTCCCTGTCCTAAGCTAACTCTAAGGATTATAATAAGTAAGCAAGACCTGACTCTAATACAATACTTGGTTCTAACTTTTGGGAAAGACATACAGTAAAATTTTTCTTTAATTTTTTTCTATAAGCTATTGCTTAGTACTACAATTCTATTCATAATGAATTTTAGTGAGTCTCTAAAGGAACATCCTCACACCACAGGAAATTAACCCATTCATTACTAAATGATTCCTAGCAGAATCTCATTGCATTCACCGCAAATTCCGATCTACAGAGTCTTAGAAACAACCAACTCTGCCATGAAAAATACAGAACAATTTGAGATTTAAACAACATAACAAAAAGATTATACGGGGAGCAAAACAATGAGAACTTGGGAGGTAGGTAAGGTGAGTGGGGGAAAGATGTCAAGACATATCATGTCCAGTTTCCAAAGGAATTAATGAGGACTGGAAAGAAGAGGTTCCAGCCACTTGAGCAGCAGAGCTCAGCAGTAGCCTAGGGGTAAAAAGAAAGAGAATCTCACTCATTTTGAATATTACAGAAGTGTTATTGTTTTCTTCCCATATGTCATATCAGGAGGTTCATGGTTTGAGTTGGTATTTTCCAAATGTCTCTGTTGTAAATTTACTATTTTTTCCACTTGTAATTAATAAGTATTATGTACGGAGCCATATTTCAAGGCTATATATATCTTGTTCCTCTTTTCTCCTCCAACTGTCCTTCACCTTTTAAGCCGCTATTGTAGGGGTTTTGGTGTCTTAAAAGGGAGGTTTTTTACAAATATATTAGAACCCATTTTAAAAAACCAACACATTCAATTCCTTACCTTTGCCACACTGCTGTGTTTCTAGAAGAAGACTCTTTACTCTTTAAGGGGTAAACACCAGGGACCTTAGGAAGCCCAAAGGAAAGCAACTAAAGACATAGACTATCTCACCTGTTAAACTTTTTCCTCAGCTGACCTGGCTTGTCCCATACCTTGCAAGTCAAGCTCATCCAGTCCAAGGTGGGGCACCAGCCACTTTCTGGAATTAGGGAACGCTTCAGATTATCTGGGTCAGGTCACTGGTACCAGGGTGGGACTTGGTGCTGAGTAATTTATACAGGGAGTCAAGAATTTCCCTGAAGCGTATGGTGTCTCACAGCAGTGGGTTTGGCTAGCCTGAGGGTCTCATTCTTCAGTCAAAACAGAACCAAGGGGAAAAACATTTTCTGAAACTGGGTGTGAGTGATGGTACAATGACCCTCAATGGAATCCTATAAAAGGATCTAACAAGAGATGTGGGGCAGAAAGTTACCTTGTCACTAAAGCCAATTTCTGAAGTTTGACTGACTTGTCCTTCAGGAATCATCTATTCCATAACATCTTTTTTCCCTTGAAGAAGCCAGATGGTGGATCTGAGACAGCCTACCTCAGCCACTATCTTGTAACTCTGGGAAGTGTCCCAGAGATGATATTGGCCTGTGATCTGGATTGAA